AAGCAAGGTGGGGGGGGGGGGGGAGGCAAGATTCCCATAAAGCAAACAACACCCACCCAGCCTGGAAGAGTGCCTACAGCTAAGCTCATGTTAAATAACCCTTGCTAACTTTCTCTTACTAAAGAAAAAGATGGTACTTTGCTTCCTGGGAAAAGATTTGTTTAGGCATTTTGAAAGGCTCATTAAGCTTGCAGGTGTTCTGGGGATGTCTTGGCTCCAGCACCGCAGTGAATATCCCACACTGACTCTTCCCTTGTTGCTCAAGTGTCGGATCAAAATGGGGAAGCGAGATGATGTCATATGTGGAGACCCTGGGAGAAGAGGTGGATGCCACGAGGACTGCCAAGCAGGTGCTCTCCTAGTGATGCTCATTCGCACACCGGCAGAGGAGGCAAAGTAGAAATATCCATACTGCAAAGGCACCCAAGAAATAACGTGGCTTGTCAAAGAAACAGAGAGTTTATCTCAGCACAGCAGCCAATGCCACCCACCAGTGGGGAGCTATATGCCAGTACTGCAGGGAGGCATGCTACCGTCATGACTTGTGTCGTGACTGAAGTGACATTTTCCCTCTCATCTAAGGCAAAGGAGCAAAGACCAGTATTTGAGTTGTGGCTAATCCATCACCAGTATATCGGTCGTACTCAAGACCCATTCAGAGCAGTTTCATTGCTGCCTAAAAACCTTTCAATTTCTTTAAGTGAAGCCATTTAAAGCACGTTCCCTTGAATTGGCATTTCTGGGCTTTGTTGGTGGGTTTTCCCCCCCTCCCTCCATCAGCAAGAACCCTTTCATCTTCAGCCCCTCCATGACAGGCACCACATTTGCCTGCACGGTATTTCAGCAAGCTTCCCGAGGCAGCCTGCACGAGGTTCAGTTGCCTAAACAAGGGTTTCTAGCACCATTTTAGGTGCCAGACTTCCAGCTGCTGTGACAGAAGGCTGCGTGTCTCTTCTGTGCCCTGGCTCATCCGTGCCAGCACATACGCACATGTCTCATCACTGGAGACAGCTGACGGGGCACAAGACCCCAGTGACCAGGCACCTGGCCTGCTCCCTCCCTGTCCTCCTTCCCAGGACAGCAGCATTTCTAACCTGTCGCTCCCTCCTGAAGCATTTCTCCCTTGTACAACATATCCCAAGTGCACTGATCTGAAGTTTTGGAATGTCTTTTGGCAGCACCAAGTTTTTCACCCAGGACATTTATCATAAATTATGGCCAAAAATAATATTGATATTGCAGGTGGAGATCATGATTTGCAATCTAAGTATCTGCACCCCCCCCCCAAAAACAAAAAGCCATAAAAAAAAAAGAACAAATGTGTGTGAAAATATAATGGAAAAGGGAAGGATTAGGCAGCAAGCTTTGGTGAATATTTCCCTGCAGTTGCTGTTAAAGTCTCTGATGCGGAGGCAGGCATCTCTTGCAAACAAGCTGTCAAGCAGGCTTCAGTCAATCAGCTCCATGAGGAGAGGAGGATTGCTGGATAGAGCTAGCTGCAAATGCTGTCTCTGAGCATTTATATCCTTCATTGTGTTAACCCTCGGTCAGACTGGAATTTTCCAGTGCAATCAACCCTATGCTTGATTTCAGGTGCCTTTCTGAGATGTTTCAAAACTAACTTCCTCCTGAAGACTCAAAATGAAGCTTCAGGAAAACAAAATAGGATCTTTTTGAGGTCTCAAGCCAGGTATCGAAAGGACAGGCATGTGGAACACCAAACCATTTTTAAAGCCTCAGCTAAAATACTCCTTAAGACTCTCACATACGCACTTACTGCATCTAACAAGGGAAAAATGCAAACAAAACCACGGAATATTGTCTAGGAAGCATATTGTAGGAGACCCATAAATCAGATGTGCTGTCACTGCTGTAGTGTCAGTTACTGCATTTGTGGCTGCTCAGTTTGATAGATTCACCTGCATACAAAATCCATACTACGATCTCTAAACAGTTTTTAAAGCAATCAGGCAATCCACTTAGAAGCGAGGTGTCCCTCACCACACATTATTGTCTTTCAAGCATTAACAACCAAATTTAAATTAAATATCCACATGAAAGAACTAGAATCCTTATAGCCTTAACAAACAAAACAAAAAAACAGAAGAACATTTATCTTAAATCGTTAGGACTAGTGCAAAGCATTAGGTTTATGCTATTATCATTTCTGAACTCTCCGTTTCCCTTTCACCCAGCCCTTTATTTACCTGGAATCCCCAAAGGACTAATATTGCCTCTCAATGCTGGCACATGATGGTACCGGTGTGGCCTTGAACTCCTGTACATCCAGTGGTACCTGCCAATTTCCATTTCTGGTCTGGTGATCACTGCCAATTTCAGGTGGTAAAAAGTCAGTGTCACCAGCAAGTTTTAGTTCAGCACTTTCAGTCATTTCACTTTAAAAACAAGAGCCCAGAAAAACACACTGTAGTTTCAGAACTGAAACAACATAACCTTACCAAACCAAGGGAGGGGTAGGGAGGGACATCGACAGGGAAACACTCACACAGGTGTTAAGAAAGGTTGAATAGCTTAGAATCCACCCAGGATTTGAATTAAACACGTAAGGGAGGAGACTCTATTCCTTCCCCTCCTCCCCCCCTCCCCCTTGTCTCCCTCTCTTTGTCCACAGCAAAGAGCTCTGCTCCAGAAGTAAAGGAAGATAAAGCCATGGAAAACCACATTACCTGTTGTTTTAAAAGACCCTAAATCTGTAAAAGCAAATGGTTATTGTCACGTATAGAGGTAGGGCAAACACACGAGTTTGCTCTGTTACATTCTTACATTAAAAAAAAACCAAAGTCTTAGGCTTTATTTCACATAGGCTCTGCTCACATCCAAAAACCTGGAACAAATGTGTTAAAACAGACTTGTTCTGGGTTTACAATGCAGGAGAGCAGTTACCCTTCTCCTCGCCTTTCCAGAGGCCAGAAGCAGCTCAGCAACGAGACCCCACGTGCAGTAACCGACCTGACCTGCTCGCGCTCTCATCGCACGCTCATCTGCACAGGGCTTCCAAGCCCCCTGAAAGAGGCCACTGGCAAACATCAACGTCAAGCCGCTTTTGAACCTCCACATCCCCCCCTTGGCACCACTACTGGCTTTGTCAAGGCTGTCAAGGCGAGACAGACAGATCTTTACTTAAAATGCACCAGAGTCCCACTTCGCGGTGATTAAATGAGAAAGTAACCGCCACCTCTGGCAAAAATAAATCTGATTCAGCAGCATTTGGGCAGGTGGAGGAAGCGAAGGTTATGATGCTGAAAACCCAGTTACCGTGGACTAGATCAGAGGCAAATTTTGGGGAGAAGGAGGAGTAGGAATTTCTGGCCTGTGAGGGGGTTGGAAGGTCCTGAACCTGGTCCTTCTTTCATGTGGTTTTGCAGCTGGTGCAACAACAACTTTGGCACAGCTACATTTACATACATCAAGAAGAGAAATAATCTCAACCTCGAATCCACGTGTTGGATCTAGAGGTTTGAAACAAGAAATTGTTCATCTCTACTCTGGCAAATGAACTTCAATGCCAAAACTGTCTTTTGGGTTTGGGATGGAAATTTAGTATCAACAGCTCTCTAAAGGATACTTCATGGCTTGGTATTTCTCCCCTCTCTCTGACTCACAGATCAGCAAGCAGGTGTCAGTATACTTTTCCTAAAAGACATTATTCCACTTTCTATAGCTTATCCTCCCTTTCAGGAGAGCCAAATTCCACATCTTATGAACATAACCAAATTCAAAATGTGCTGAAGGCATCGTTCCAAAATGACTCTGCATGCTCAGGATGATATCATCTCCTTCTGCTTACACAGGAACAATCCTGTTTATGAGATCACAACAGACGCCATAATAATTTAATATGACACGAAATGGAAAATAACAGAATTGCTCGCTAGTACTGCATACTGTCTCCCCTCTCCCTCACAACTGTTTGTTCCTTACTGGACATCGGTAACAGATATAGATATGATTAAAAAAAAAAAAAAATCTGCAAAGACTTCTAGGAACAAAAAACTTCTTCATTCGCGTTGCAGCAGCATCTAAGTCCAAAACCTTGCCCCTAAAAGGATTTCATCCCAGAAGGCCTGAAGCCCTAGCAAACCCCCTTGCTCGGAGCAGCAGAGCAGGCAGCTGCCTTTCTCCCCTGGCCTGAGGGCACGCTGGTGCAATCACCGCTGTCTGCTGTGGGACAAACATCAAACCCTGAAACCCGGGGACTGCGCGTAAACCTCGGAGCATCATTTCTGTAAGTGAAAATATTCTATGAAGTTGGTTTTTTTTAATTAATAATTTCTGGTTTTGCATTAACAGGGTTCCCTTCATTAAGAAATGGTTCAAATTCCATAAGGAATCTCCATTTTTCCACTGCTCTGCAAAGAGCCGCTTTGCAATGGTTGTTTGGTAGCCCTGGCTGCATGCCTGGCACGACCTCCAAAGCCAAAGAGGATCTTTTGGTGGCTTCACAGGGACCCACTCATGCAGAATCACCACCAGGTCAAAAGCCGCAGAGGCTTCAGTGGCGTAACAGCTACTGCACACAGCACGTATGAAATAAAAGTTTAACCTTGTTCCCCGAACTCCTAGGAAAGGAAACCGGTTTAAATGACTTTTTTATCTCTTGCTTTTTGAGGAACCAACCACATCGACTGCATCCCCGGGTTTAGGTTACAGCAGTCTCCCCACACAGCTGGGCTCACACAGCTCGAGGTCCCTGGCCCGACCCCCAGCTGTACTCGGCCCCGCGCAGACACAGCAGCTACAGGACTGACGGCGTTCCCGTGTCCCACCACGCAGGCACGCTGATGGCAGCTGTGGTGTTCGATATTCATTTGGGATGAATCACCCTGGACGCCTGTCATAAAACTCCCACTGCCCAACATCCTCACGCGTGCTGCCTTTCGCATGCGGCTTTAGAGGAAACAGTTACGACATTCATCTGCCGCAGCTGACGAAGCAGTCCATGGGAGCAAAGCGAGGGTTGTCATTTGGTCGTTTATGATCTGCTAATGAATACTTCATTAGGAGCAAGGCTGGCCAGAAAATGGGGAAAGGTCAGGGGAACCGAAGGGGGCTCCCTCCACCCCTCTTCTCTCCCCTCTTCAGTCCCTTTGCTCCCACCGCAGAGTCCTTGTGCACATGCAGTGCCATCTGGGGTTTTCCCTCCCATTACCATATCCTGTGGCACATTCGTTTAGGTCTTCCGCCTTCATGAGGTCATTCAGACCAGTATGAGTATGTTCTTCGAGTGTTTTTCAACCTCCTCCTGTTTAGAAACCAAATCCTATTCATTAAAACCTAAATCACTAAGCCTGCCAAATTATTATCCCCAGAATATCGCGTGTCCCAGATTCTCCCTGGGCTGGATCTCTCCTCCTACAGTCATATTCTTCAGGGACTTAAAGCAGTTATTGTTTCCACGGGATCTGAAACACCAATAAACTGCTTGGAACGGGAAAAAACATGCAGCATACTAAAAATCTTTGAAGGGCTTGACAGCTCTGAAATCACCATGTGAGCCTAACTTTAAGGGAGTAATTTTGAAAATTTTGGCTAGTAATCATAACAGGTATATAATAAAGACAATTTTTTCAATTTGCTGTAATGAAAAACATATCTATCTGTGATACATCAAAATGTCGCAAGCTCGCTGCGTAAAAAGAACTTTGCCAGAAATGAAATAAACTGCACATTGATTCAGTCCCTTCTCACACTGCACTTCAGCAGCTCCATTTACGCCACCACACAGAGTTGTACGGTTGTGTTTAAGAGAAGTATTTTCTTTCTATATTTTACTAGCAGATACTTGTCTGTTTAGAGTTTAAAATCGGAAACATCACTTCATCCACCATGAAAATAATAACCAAAGCTCAAAGCCATTCTTGAGCACAAGGTCTTCTTTCATCGAGAGCACATCAGTAGGGAAAAGCCAATTACAAGGAACCTCGGGTACAGCTGCTCAGGCTGGTTTTCATTATTCTTCAGCACAGCACATGCAATTTGAACACCGTATGCATTTATACAAGGAAACTATAACCTAGTGTCATGGCTTTCTTCCATCCTCCCACGTGTAATTGGTGAATTCACCATGGTCATCCACAGTTGGGTTTTATTTTGTTTTGTTTTTTGAATATTGCAACTTGGTAGTATTTCTCATAGTTAAATGAAAAGGGAAACTTCTTGTCTCTGTTAATGTGCATCAGGATCCATATCCTTCAGTGCTGATGTAAAACGACATTTCGTTTTTCTTATTTATTCCACCTCAGTAAATCTGCCTGCCCAGTCCTCACGTTTTGATTTAATTTAATGCCTCCAAGATAAACCCTGTCATTTGTAATAATTTGTAAGCCTTCATCTCTAAAATGCATCCAATCTGTCCTGCAGCCCTGTAAAGTATCTGTTAAACATTTTGCTTCAGCTTGCTCATGGTGTTCTCCTCTGATAAGGGCTGCTGATACACAGAATAAAGCTGACTTATTTCTTATCTCCATCAACATGGGTGTTCTTCCATTTCCAATTAAAAAAAACTGGGGCAGCAGCCACTCATCTGGGTGCAGAGAAACAAATGTCTGATAAACACTGAATCCATCAGCTGGGCAGTATCACTGCCTGAATCAGTGGGATTCAGGGGATTCACAAAAATAATTATTAAAATATAAAACAGGAATTCATATATAATTTAGCAAACTTCAAAAATCTAAATGAGAGTAATCATTTTCATTTACCAATCAGTAAATATTCATAAAGCACATTAGCTTGCATAGATTGCCTCAGCTACGCAGCAATCCAAACTAGCTGGCCATCCGCATTTGCCACAGGGCTGGGACATGCAAACCAGCACCTATGCGACACCGCCGCTCAGATCTGACCATATGAGGTGCTCAAACCGAAAACACATCTCACTGCTCATCCCAAGCGCTCGGGCAGTATTGCTCTCCAGCGTTCTCCTCCAGAGTAGCCCTGTATACAGACAGCATGTAGCCCTAGCCCAGCTTCCTCCAAGTATTCATTCTTGACGACCACAGTACATGACTGAGGAGGTCCATGCACTGAAAAACACAACCCGTAAACCTGCAGTTTAAAATTCTCGTAAAGGGAAAAAACCTCCAAGTGTAATTTGCGAACAGTTAAATGCAGATACCTTCCCCAGAACTTGGCAGTGCAAAGCATACTGGGTGTGAACCTGAATACCTAAAGTGAAATGCTCAGCATCTTCTCTTGCTCCGTCTTAGCAACTGCAACATCCCCCAAGCCCCTTCAGATGCTGGTTTATCTCCCTGGACTTTGCAGCAACTCATTTCTGGAAGGAAGAGTTAAAAGACTTTGTGACAGCGCTTCAATCACTTCAAGCTGTGGCAGCTGCCTCACAATCCCTGGATCTCGGGGGTCTCACAAAGGACGGCCATTACACAAAGTCCAGGTGGGATCTCAGAGGAAGCAGCAAATGTTGCAAGCCTGGCGAGCATGGAAGGCACAGCAGGCAGGAGATCCAGTCCAGACAGTAAACAGACACATTTTCGAAGGGGTCAGCTCCCGTCTTATACCCCAAAATTAAGCAGCAGCGTTTTCCTTGAAGTTTCTTCACACAGACTCATTTTTCTCCATCAGCGCTGCTGATGAAAGAACCCTTTGGAAAAATCCTGCCATTTCAGAGGTACCTGATACCTGCTGAGCCCATCTGACAGTCTTAGCACTTCAGAAAATCTGTCCCCCAAACCTGAATATGCCTGCTACATCACTGCTTCATGGCAGTAACTTTGCGGGGGGATCTGGGCTATTTGTTTTGCTATTGAAGCTAGGAGTAGGACTGTTTCAGCTTTCTGCACTTTAATTCTCTGGAACATATTGGGAATTTAGATGAATAGAAATGAAGAGCATAATGTGAGTGACCGTGTGTTACTTCCAGAAATTAGGGAACTGGCAAGAGCAAAGCCTTGAAATGTTACATACACATACCTATGCAACAGATCCAAAGCATAAAATTATCACAGGAAAACTAGGAAATGGTGGTAAAATTAAGATAGGAAGTTTCCCTGCTTGCATCCTATGAAAGCAACAGACCAACCACCTTGATTTGGTAACAGATTTACTGTTCTACATAATGTGCTTTCATCCTTGCCAAAATAAAAGGGAAACCATAAACCCATCACAAACACACTCAGCAACACATTTTGTTTTGCACAGTTGCTAATGCATACGAATAACTTTCTTTGGTGTTTATTGTACATCAGTTTTATCAGTTTAAACAGAACAAAAAAAATGCTGTAATTTTTGAAGAATGATCTATGAGTTAAGGAAGGTTTTATGGCCAAGTTATTTAGGACATTTTGTACATTAATTACTCAAAAATCTGCAGTGAGGTGGGTTATTGTCCACATACATTAATGGCTTTCAGAGTTTAATCTCTCATCAGTGGACCTCCTTTTGTGAAATCCTAAGGGATTATGTAGTACTATGTCTAATCACTTGACAAATTTCATTTACTTGAAACTGAAGCTAGGTTTGAATTATACAAAACACATAGGAGGAATCAGATTCTATGTACAAAAACGAAATCTGGTACTGGACAATACTGGGATTTATCCCTATGTTCATATCTGAACTGCTTAACAATAAATTAAACAATTGTACCTGGAGAAACGTATTAGTTGCTTATCAGCTGCCTATGCCTACGAGAAACTTGAATTACTTGTAGATGACACACAACAGGTTCAAAAGTATACGGCAACTCACATAAAAAGGCAGTGGAAATTGTAATAATTTTGTTACTGCTGTTATCATTTAGCAAAAACTATTGCCATGATTTGTACAGTAGCCTGCTACACTGAAGAGGGACATTTACTTGGCACTAACTGTATGATCCAGAAACATAACAGTCCTTTGGCAGCTGAATTTACCCTCTGAAGTTGAGCACTCCAGACCAAATAAATCACCTGCGTGGCTGGGATGGATGAAGCAGCTCTCCTCCTGCGCTGCCATCTCCCTACTGCAGAACCACTACCACGGAATTGTTCTCTCCATTAAGCAGCAATTCCTGGTGATTAACACATCCTGAAACCTAATGTTGTGAAACTCATTGCATTATTCTCCATTATCATAGCTCAGGCAGATCTCTACATAAGCAAAATTTGCCAGACCACGCCATAGAAAAGGAAAAGGAATTTAAAATTAAGAGTAGCATTTGGCACCAAGCGAACTACACGAAGGTTGCGTGATATTATAATCTATTCTATGTTACTATAACCTAGGTCTCCCACACTGCATTGCAAAGCCCTGCTACATGGCTAGTCTCGATGAAAACACCAGATTATGGCTCTGAAAGCGACACGCAAAGACACGGGCACACGCCACCTCTGTAAACCAAATTTACCAAAACCCATCAAAGACGCAGCAATAACAAGACTCCTTTTGCAAACATAATTTCTGGTAGGTTAGGACAGATTTGGAACAAACACAGATGCAGAGAGAAAGACTGCTGCTCTATTAATTTGTTGTCAAGCCATGCAGGAAAGGATGACTGAAAGCCCGAAGACGCAGTAATGATTGTTTAAGAGCTATTCGAAGAAGTGACAAAACTGGCCTAAACCTCTTTAAGCCCCCTGAATGAAAAGATTTAAACAGGCTATTGTTAGACCCCTGGGTACCTTTTTTCTCTTGGCTTTGTTCTGCATTTTCCTCCGCTGCAGTTTCCATGGCTGGCTTCATACCATCCACCAAAAATGCCGCCCCCCCTCCCCCCCCAGCAAGCACTTTTTCTCTTCGCCTCCTTTCTCACTCCCTTCCGTCTCCTATTTACGGCGGCGCTGATTGAGCGGCTCTGTTCTCCCCTACAGTAGATTACAGCCCTTTCCAAAACGCCAGAAAAGTCTTGTCAGCTTCAATTTCGCTCCGCTGACTGGTCCACGAGGAGCCGTGCCAGCGAGCGCTCAGCCATACGTCACCGCGGCACCCAGCTATCAGGGAATCTTAATCAATTCCCTCAGCGGTGAATGGATGGGCGACATCGGGAGGGGAGATGCAGGCGAGAAAGAAAAGAGCCCCCCCGGGCGCTGTGGGGCGAGCCCCCCGGCTGCCGTCTCCAAGGGGAGTGCACGCCGGCAGACAATCGCAAGGCTCCCTTTCCCATGGGACCTCGTTATTATGCTTCGCGTTTTGATTTATTCCACATGCCCTCTGCTCTTTCAAGGGGCGGGGGGCGATGGGTCTGCTCTCTCTGTTTGCTTTCTTTGCCGAGGAAGTTCCGCTCACCCACAGCAAAAGACTGTGCAAGAGAAGCATAAAAGCAAAAGTGGGCATATATACATGGAAAATTTAAATTCTTTCCCTGACTAGTAAGCACGATGGAAAAAAAAGCACAAAAGAACCCAAGCAAGCAGAAAGGAAGGACCTAAAATGCATGTGCAATACTTTAAAGGTTTAAGAAAACACAGCTTGGCTTCAAAAAGGATGTCTGCCATTAGAGACCTAAAGCCATGCTTAGAAGTAAATGCAGAGTTGCTGTTAAGCGCATGTTTGACTGCTCCCCTAAATCCAGCTGGACTGCAGCATGATCTAACAAGCCATACTGACCTGGTGCTGGGAGCAACAAACCCCGGACACGTCTGCACTGCACCTTGCCAGGCGACTTTCGGCGTCCCCAGCCCGCTCGGAGCAGCCCCGTGCTAGGGTGCCATGGACCAGGCAACACCACGTAGGGGTATTACCCACCTCCAAACCCCAAGACAGCTGACATATTTAAGGCTGCACTGAGGCTAATTAACTTTGCCTATCACTCTGCTTGTCTCAGCGGCCTCACATCACACGACGCCGCATAGGGCAGACATGCCCAAAGGCACCCCTTTGTGTGTGTAGGACGATGGAGCAGCCACGGAGCGATGGCCTTTGCGGTCTGGCAGGCTTCGCTGGCGCAGTCACCGCAGCCGATTCTGCAGGCCGCAAAGATGCCTCGCAGATTCAGCAAATGCTGGGGATGTTAAAACCTACACGCTGCATGTTCCATATAAGAGATTCAACCAGGAGAGAGGGAAGAGGGAAGCAGTCCAAAGATCTGTAGCTGCAACTCAGCCTCTTTTGGTTAAAGTTACCACACCCACAATTTTGCTGTGCATTTTTATTTCTATGGATGCCCAGTAAAAGGCACAAAAAACCTCAGACTCAACCTTTAGAGAAAGTTCCCTTCTCTTGCAAGAAATCAGCGCACAAATCCTCTTCTCTCACCATGGACACCATAGCTGCCACTTTGCTTTGGGCATTACTGCTCAGACACAGGCTTCAGCCCAGCTGCCAAGAGGTCTTGGACTTATCCAAAGGTTTCATATCAGAGCATCAACACATGATGTAAAGCATTTGTCTAAAAAGCTTTCTGCGAGCCCAGGAAAAGTCTACAGTTGAAGCTCCCACCTCAGCAGGATGAAGTTAAATTGTAGAGAACATGAAGTATTCTCAAGAACCAACCTGAGGCAAGGGGTTGGATTCCTGAAGGTAATCAAATCATCAGCCCTAGCAGAGAGCTCAACCCAGATGCAAGGCGTAGTTCCCCAGTCTCCTCCTCCAGCGTCCACACAGCAGTCCATACACATACCGAAATCCTGCCCAGCAAGACCACGTACTGCAAATGCCATCCCTCAAGGAAGCAGCTGAAAGGCGAAACCACAGGTGATGTGTTTGCCATATTCTGTTAAACATTACTAAAAGTTGTTCAAATCCCACAGTCAAGAAAGGAAAGACAACTTCCTTACATTTGGGATAATGATTATATAAAGACAATGTTCTACAAAAAAGTGGTTTTTTTTCCCCATTTAAAATCAGTAAGATTGAAAATCCATAGCAGACACACCTACTTGCTGAAAGTCACACAGATTTTAGTCATTGGTCAAACCAGTTGATTGCCTCTGACATTAAAATTCCCATCTTGGAACCCCCTCATTGTTCAGCCGGTACTTCTGCTCGCTGCTGTCATAGTCTAGATCTCCATTAGTGATCTTTACTTTGGAAGGTCTAAAACTTTAAAAGCTTGAAACCTCACTTCTGACCACCCCAAGTTACAAAACGTCTGTTCAAAAACTAACTCAAGTGGTATAATACTAATGCACTTATCAGTATAAATACACAGAAAATACAAACATCATATGGAATTTCCTTTCTTTAAACAGAAAATACATCAGACAGAACCTTCGGTTACAGCCTGTCCCTGGAGAAAACCCACTACCGAAGCCCTCCGCTCTGCATCAGTGAGACCTACCCCTTTGAACAGCTGTGTGCTCTCCTGCTGGCAAGCAGATATTGTCAGGCAGGCTCAGGACTTCAGAGCAGATGTTTTACAAACACAAAACTAACAGGCTGGGAGGCCTTCCCCTACTTTCTCCCAGGATAACCCCTTCCCCAAATGAGCAATCGAGAAGTCAACGCACAATACCAGAATCAACTTCACAGGAGCTTGAACTTCAGAAGCCATCAATCCCAACTATTCAAAAGCATTAATTCTGCCTACTACATCACCCTCTAAAAGCTTCAAGCGATGCATTAGTGTAAAGTTCTCCCCCCTCACTTCTTACTACTTTCCAGATCGCTGAAACATATGATGGGTTTTAAGCACTTAGCATCTTAAGTAATTTCTTCATCTTCGAGCCTCTGTCCCATCGCAGCAGATAAAACAAACTATATGCTATTTCCTCCAGTGCTAACACGGGTGCTGATCTTGTGCTTCAAGAATTAATCCCAGCCAGCAAGGTGTCTTATGCAACGCTCCCTCCCTTAATCAGATACATCCTTTTCACAATAGGTGATGAGACTGGGAGACGTCAAGTCTATGCCTATGACAACACAGCAAAAGACAGAGCCACAAAAGCAGAAATTACAAAAAAAAAAACCCACCCCAACTTTAAAGACTGATATTCAGCAAAAACCTGCTGTACAGACCAGCCTGATATAGATAACCAGCAGCCAGGGAAGTGGGCTAGTTATATTTCAGGAGTTCAGCCCAGCATTTTATTTGTAGACCAAAATAAAAATGAAAATTAGGAGAGGGGCTGAGCATTAAGGGTTTCTGCTGCTAAAGCATAGCTCTGAGCCTACAGCCAAACCTCCGGATGAGTAGCAGTGGAGCAAAGTATGTGAAGGCACTGCAGACCAAGTGACATTCACTGCAAAACTACTTTTTAAAAATAAGTTTTAATCTATTTTATCTAGCTTTAAAAAAAAAACCAACTTTTAATCATTTTGCTCAGTCAAATAAAATACTGCAATTGCACACGTTAAAAAAGGTATTAAAAACCCAATTCTGTCCACGTGCCAATTTCTTTCAAACATCTATCTTTAATGTCACTGCATCTAGTTTACATTCCTGAAGGCTGAGGAGCTCTATCGTAAGCTACAGCAAATTCTTCACAAGCTTTCAGGAGCTTTTTACACACTTGCCATTTCTACAAAGGCTTCACAGAGCTGTAATAAAGAGTGTGCCCACATACTTCCAGAGCAATTTGAGAATAGCCTATGAGATCCAAGACTCAGAAGTTAAAATTCAGAGACTGTCCCTCAAACAAGACTGACAAGTATTCCAAGCAACTAATTTTACAGACGACTTCTAGAATACTGTGGATTTTCTTTTTATGAAGTATGCAAAAATATTCAAGAGAAAGAACAAATACACATGCAGCCACTTGGTGTGTCTCTCAATGTACTTGCCTGTGTTCAGAACAGCTTTAGACCAGTTACCTAAGACTTGAGTATAAACCCCTGAATGCTTACGGAAAAGTAGGCAAGTTTTCCATCTGTATAAAATGACAACCAGCATGACAACCAGCTTTTAGTTGTGTGGCAGTTACGTACCTGGCAAGTACTTTAAAAAAAAAAAAATTTGGGCCCATTCTTTCAGACATACTAAATTACTAGGAAAATGAAATTCAAATTAATAAACAAATAACAGTGGAAAAAACCTGCACTTTTACCACAGTATAAAATACAGACTACTAAAAAACATGAATCTGCACTGCACTTTGTGATCTCAATCTTGGATTTCTGTAGAAAGGGCAAAACTATAGGCTTAAGCGTGGATAGAGGTTATCCTTGCAACCCAAGAAAATCACTAAGTGATGCAGGTTAAGCTCATGAGGGCGAGCAGACCTCAGCAGTGTGAAGGCGCCAGTCCTATGACCTCCTTAATAAAGCCCCATGAAGACAGCAAGAACTGCTGCCAAGCTAAATGCCTGGTGGCAAGCAGGCAGGCAAAGTAGACGCCATCCAGTTGTGGGGTCTCATACACCTCTCTGGCCAGCCTGCTAGCCTCCAGCTGGACCGCTGCTTTAGTCCACTGTGGCCACAGCCCCTGGTGAGAATCAAAGGCAATCAACAGCCTAAATCCAGAACACACAGGAGTGGCTAACCTTTATTTGGAACATAAAGGGGAAAATAATCCCTTAAAGAGTGAATAGATGGTTCTGTACAGCTTTTCCAATAGGTAAGTCTGAGCAAGCCCTTGTCTCAAAGATGACTCCAGGGGTAGAGATGTGAAAACTATCACAGAAAAAGCCTGAAGAGCTATAATCAAAGTCAAAACAAAAGCAAAAGTTCATGGTGTTCTTAAGCAGCTGGGAAGTCCATTTCTGCTTATGAATAGCAGTCAACAGCATGGAAGTAATTACAAAAAAAGCTAGATATTGCTTTTTTATGCTAACTAATGGCTTTAGTAAGGTTTTCCTGGGTTTAAG